CTACTGCAAATGGATTTGCCAGGATTAAATCTAAACACATCAATGGGGTTTCTGGGGTCCTCAATAATCTGGTGGCATCCTTCTTAGTGAATTTTACTTTTCCCTCTTTACCAAGGTCTTTCCTGAACTATGTTTAAGACAGCTACTCCTCCCCGAGGAATCACTTCCTCATTCCCTTTTTCCCATAATAGATTTCAACTTTTAATACACCATGTATAACATTTTTGGTTGATTTTGCTGCCAGTCCCACTAGAATGTAAATTCCTCATGGAGAAGTCTTTTTTGTTCATTTTGTTTACAGTTTATACCCAGGACCTAAAATAGGGTCTGCTACACAGGGAGTGCTCAGTTAATATTTGATGAATAAATAAATGAATGGGGAACCGTTTTAATTATGTCTAGAGCTCTTTAAGAGCTAAGTGAAATTCTACACATAGTACTTGCCACTCTGGTGCACAGCCAACACAGGTACTGTAGTCCTCACCTTTGACTTCAAATCTTTCATGCACTGGAGATTTGGCTAAGTCGAGTCCCAGGTTCCCCAGGAAGTGTCTCCAATTGCCTGTTCTCTCAAGTTTTCTGAATTTCTATCTTACAAAAATGTTTTCCAAAATGATCTATATGGGAGGTTTTCAGTAAGTTGATGGAAAGTATTTTTATGAAAAAAATTACATATGGATTTCAACATTTGGGACATTAGACTAAACCTATACTTTCATTCCATTTTCCTATAACCTTTTTTTAGTGTCAGAAAAGTTCAAGTTTGCTGAGCCGCAACAAGAGCTTATCTGTTATGATATATATGATATGACACATATGATATCATAACTAATAGTTACTTGTGTGTTCTTTGCTACATCAGCTACATTAACCTTCACCATACCTCACTGAGTTATTATTGTACTCATTTTTTAGATTATAAAATGAAGCCTAATTATTTGTCCATGTTCACAAATTTAGTACATAAGAGAGGGCAAGTTTGGGGGCCAGCAGGTGGCATTGTGGCTAAGACACTGAATTCCCACATGGCCAACCTCATTTCGAATCCTGGCCCTGGTGGCTTGACCATCGTGTTAGGCTCGTGTGCATGTGTGCCTAAAATCTCAGAAAGAGAGTGAAGTAGAGAGGATTGTGGCATGGCCATCCCCCAGAATGGTGATTTTTCACTTTTCCTGTCTCTATAGCAAGCACACATGTGTCCTATGGCAAAAACCTTAAAAAAAAAAAAAAAAAAGTACAGGAGGCAAGCTCAATGTTCTATGGCAAAAACCTTAAAAAAAAAAAAAAAAGTACAGGAAGTGACTTCAGAAATTTGTGAAAAAATTGAATTCCAGTATGAATTTATTTTGGTGCAAAAAAATTCTAAATCCATGCATTACTTTTTCCTAATGAGTATTTTCTATGAACTTTTTGAAGGCCCCTTATACATATTTAAAGATATTTATTTTTTAAAAATGAATGTTCAAAAACCTTAAAAAAAAAAAAAAAAGTACAGGAAGTGACTTCAGAAATTTGTGAAAAAATTGAATTCCAGTATGAATTTATTTTGGTGCAAAAAAATTCTAAATCCATGCATTACTTTTTCCTAATGAGTATTTTCTATGAACTTTTTGAAGGCCCCTTATACATATTTAAAGATATTTATTTTTTAAAAATGAATGTTATGTTAAGACTATAAGAAAAATTTATATTTTGATTTACAATAGACTATAAAACCCAGAAAAAGAAAACAAGAATATCTTATACACTAGTTAATATAAACTATAGCAAATAATATTCTTGTATTTAACTTATTTCTTAAAATGTGAATCTACCTACATCAGAAGTTTCTGAAATGCATTTTAAACACACCAACTGCTAAGGCCCCATATTTTATCTACTAAATCAGAATCTTTAGGAGAGGGGTTTAATATGTGTATTTTTATAATAGCAGTACTTTATTTTTATGCACACTGAAGTAGAGAAACCTCTGGTGTAATTTAAATTCCATCACTGATGGGATGTAATCAATTGAAATAGGGGTCAATTTTCTTTATGTAAAGGGTCTTCTATTTCAGTAGTAGGCCTAGTAAGCTATTGTTAAAATGCCACATATATATGGAACACAATAATAGACAATAAACCAGGTTAATTAAAGGGATGCAACTAAATTAGAGTGCCAATTGTGGAAGGTTTATTATGAATGTAATGATCTTAAAGCAATGGAAAATAATTAGCATTTAAATTAAGTTGTAGGTTAGCCACATTAGGGAAAGGTTAGTTTGCAATGAATTTTTATAAGGTTATAGTGTTATTTTTGGATTGATCTGAGCATTGACTATAATGAAAATCTTAGAATAAAATTGTCATTAATTGAGCTATGTATTAATTGGTGGGCTTTCTTGGACATATCTACATTGGAATAACTATTAAAATATATACAATTAAATCTGGGGCTGGCTTCAGTGGTGCAGCATAACACAATGCTTTGCAATGCAGAAACCATATGGGAAGGTCCTGGATTGGCATACTGAGGTCTCCCTGTATACACTGGGTGCATGCACACATGCTGGTGATCCTGGCTTCCTGAGGCTGGGCTATGGTGTGAAGGGCCATTGGGAGTGCCTATCTCTTTGTCCTGTATCTCTCTTGTTGAAAAAATGAACTTAGAGGCTGGCAGGTAATGTGGGCAGTAAGGGCTTTGGACTCCCATTTAGCCAAATGTAGTTCGAGCACTGGATCCGGCAGCTTGCTTTCTCTCTTCCCCCTTGCTCCACTCCTCTTTGGTCAAATTAAATTAAAAAAAAAAAACTTGCAAAAGATACATCTGGATGTAAAGTAATACACACAAAGTATCAATTACTTTGATATTACATTACTATGTGTAGATTTATGAAGCTGCTCAAAAGGATAAGTCATAGGAAGCACAGTTTTGCTTAACTATAGTTGTTTTCCAAAATTTTAGGTCGTGTGCGTGGTGAATAATTTCAAAGGAAGACAACCAGAAAATGAGCATATACACATGGATAACCTGGCACAGATGCCAATGATCAGCATTCCTCGAGTAGAAAGTCCTTTGGAAAAGGTAACATCTATACAGGTGATTCCTACTTTAAATTCTAAAATCTGATTGTTATTTAGAGCAAATGAATAATTATTCCTGTGTATGTATCTGGGACTGCTGGCACGGTTATGATTTACTGAAACCAACTCAAGCTAATATTGTATTTGGCAAGGATTTAGTGACTAAAGAGGTCATCTCAGAAAAATACATTATCACATATAAATGATCTCCTTGTATTTCTCATGCTAAAAGCTGAGTACCTGTTCTTAGAATCCATGCAGTACTTTGCCAATTTTTTTTTAGGTTTTTGCTATAGGGTGTGTGCACTCACTAGAAAGACAGGGTGAGAAATTACCCCCCAGGGGGGTGGCCACACCACAGTCCCTTCATTCTCCTCTCAGAATGTTGGGCGAGCACGCATGCACACGCACACACACCTGGCGGGAGTTTAAGCCACCTGGTCTGAGACTCGAACCACAGTCGACTACATGGGAGTCCAGTGACATAGCTATTATACCAACTGCTGGTCCCTGTCAGTTTTTAATGAACATTGGGCACTGATCCCACATGTAGACAAGGTAGTTTTACTTGTGAATATATGCATGTTCATATAGTATACTCCAGTCTTCTCTGCTCCATTTCTTTGAAAAAGTGCTTAGTACAATACCTGGTGCATAATCAGGGCTCAGTAAACATGTTTTGAATTTCAATGTGTACAGGTCTGGCAGCAAGGAAACATTGATCATGCTCTCCTGACCTGAAAGGCACTGCAGGTCAGGTTGGGCAAATGTAGCCAGACGGTCTAGTACTTTGACTGGCAGGCCCAGGCCTCACTGGGCATGGCAGCGAGTACAGAGCCAGGTGGTCAACAGAAACTTTTCTCCAGACCTTTGTGAACCACACAGGACAACATTTCCTACGTGTTGATGCAATTATGTATATTTGTAACTAGTTAGAAGATTGCTCAGAGGGTTACTAGTGGCTTCTTCTCAGCCCTGTCCTTCCACATTTTGATCAGTATCTTAGTGACATTCAGTTACATGCCAACCAGGTGTTTAGTTGGTGTGAATCTATAAGGAGTAATTAATACACTGGATTAAAGGATAAAATTGAGAGACTGTAATAAAATACAATTAACAGGCTGGCCTTGTAGCCTAGTGGTTAAGGGAGCTGGATCCCACATAGCCAACCATGGTTTGAATATGGACCCTAGCATCTTGAAAAACATACCAAGCATGTGTGCTTGTGTGCCCAGAATCCTAACAAGATGGAGAGATGGAAAAGAAGGGATTACAATGTGACTGTACAACATGGAGGGGTGCTTTCTCCCTCTGTCTCTCTGGTGAGCACATGTGCCCTCCGGTAATTTAACATGTTTGTATTCAGATTTAAAAAAAAATTTGCCTGTAATGTAGGCTACGTCTAGGTTAACTGCACAAATGAAAACAGCTTGGAGGGTGCACTAGGCTACAGTTCAGCGTCTGTCAACAGTGGATAGAGCTACTGGGAGAGTGAACGTGATCTTATGCTGCACCTATGAAAACAATGTACTGAATGAAGGATTGATGGTTTGCTTTGCCCAGCTCTAGTCATGTAAACTTGGAACGCTGTGCTCACCTTGATGCACAGTCTTTGTTAAGTGGATGAAGGAGCATGTCCAGGATGGCAAGTGAACTCAAAGTCATGGATTATGAGGGGCTGTTGCAAGAACAAAAAACGAGGAGCACAGAGAAAGAAAACTCACAGAAGAAACAATAGCTTCCCATAAATACCTGGAGGACTATATATGATGGAGGGTTGATATTTGTTCTGGGAGCTTTGAGAGATCACAAATAGGATGAATGAAAGGGAGATGAGTGTAAGAAGCTAAGTGATGACTGCAAAAAACACTGAAAATGGATTAGATCCCTGAAGAGAGATGCAGTTTACTTTTACTTTGGATTCCAGAGTAGCTAAATAATCACTTATCCATGATCTGTGGAGGGAATTCAAGTATTTAGGTAAAGCTAGAAGTCCTAAATAATAAGAATGATCCTAATACTAATAATGGCTACCATTTAAAGATCAGGATGGGTCAACTACTGTGCTGAAGGTTTATATAAATTCCTCCCAAATACTTCATGTTCTCCAAGTACTTAGAAGAGTTTTTAAAGCTAGGTCTCATTTTAGTAACAAAGATGACTATGAAGTCCAAATTTTTGAGAGATATTTTTGCTATAGGGTGCATGTACTCACTAGAGAGATAGAAAGTGAGAAATCACCCCCCCGGGGGGGGTAGTCACGCCACAATCCCTTCTCTCAGGAATTCAGGCACATACACACATGTCTGTTGTGAATTTTAAGCAGCCGGGTCCAGGACTTGAACCATGGTTGACTACATGGGAATCCAGTGACATAACCATTATGCCATCTACTGGTCTCATTCTTTTGTTAATTGAATCCCTCAATTTTAGCTATATCATGACTGTTCATGGTGCTAGCTTCCTTGGCAGTTAGGTGTGGCCATGTGACCATACTCAGACCAGTGCAATGTAAGCAGAGGAGATAAGCACGGCCTCTGGTGAAGTTCTTTGAACACTTTTGCTATAGACATTCTCTACACCTTCTCACCAGATGGAAGATACATCACGGAGTAACCTTAGAAGTCCTTTGTAAGATGAACCATCTACCCTGCTAGCCTGGTTTCCTGGATGAGCTCATGGACCAGAGACTGTATAGCTTTAAGAAATAAATGAATTATTTTCTCCTCAGCGCCTTTGACTTTCTTTATTATGGTGTCTTAGCTGATGTCCTTTTATAATAAAGTTCCTCCTTTTACTGTTAAGAAAACAACTTCCAAGTGGTTACATAAGTCTCTGATAAAGACCAGAGAAAAATTATCCATGTATGTGTCAAGATACATCTGTGTAGAAATACATAATTTTATAACTTTTAAACATATCAATATGTACAATAACATATTGTGAATGAAATATAAAAGTAGATCTTAATAAACAAAGATAAGAAACAGTACATTTAGGAAACGATAAACATTGAGAAAATGGTCAGGATAATATTTAGTCTTTTCATTTTGTTTACCTTTGAAATTAACTCTGCTTGAAGGTTCTTTAGTAGTTTCCTATCAGTGCCAGATATTCTTATATATCATTACATCATTCTCTATATTAAATGACTAATAAGTCCTGTTGATTTTGTGCTTTTTATTTAGAGCAAGTTTTAAAATATTTGATGGTAAAGGAACGATATTCCTTTGACCCATAAATTGCTAGGGATGGGATGAGTGTTTATTAGCTCCTTCCTTTCATTAATGTTTTTGTTTATGACAAGGTCAAGTGCTTTATCTGTTTTCTTTTTTTGGAGAGGCTTTTTGCTATAGGGCATGTGCACTTGTCAGAGACAGAAAGCAAGAAATCACCCCCCAGGGGGGATGGTCACGCCACAATCCCTTCTCCATTCTCCTCTCGGGATCTTGGGCACACAAACACACGCTCCCGGCATGAGTTTAAGCCATTGGGTCTGGGACTCGAACCACAGTCAACTACATGAGAGTCTAGTGACAGCCATTATGCTAACTGCTGGTCCCAAGTGCTTCATTTTCATTTTGGTAGTTAAGGAACAAAAGATGGCTGGAACCTGATTAGGTTGTCCTCTTACTCACCAAAAGTTGGCAGCAGACCCTGCCAAGCTGACTGTCCACAACTCTTCCATTCTGTTCCCAGTGCCAGGGCCACCCCTGCACTTACACTTTACCGTGAAAGCACCAACAGGCCAGGTGCAGGGACTACACCTCCAGCTTCTCTTAGAAATTCTACTGCTGAAAGGACATGTACTTGTGCACATCATCCAGAAAGGGAGGAAGGTGGTCTCATCATGAAAGCCTACAAAGCTTTATCTTTTTTATAATCAGAAGTATTTGGTGGTAGGGACCAGCAGATGGCGGAATGGTTACGTCACTGTACTCCCACATAGTCAACCACAGTTCAAGTCCTGGACCTGGTAGTTTCAAACTCACGCTGCCATCGTGTGTGCCCAAAATCCTGAGAGGAGAATGGAGAAGAGATTTCTATGTGGCCATCTTCCCGGGGGTTGATTTCTCACCTTCTGCCTTTATGTCTCCATCTTTCAAAGCAAATGCATGCCCTATAGCAAAAATTTCTTTCTAAAAAAATGTATTGGGCAGTAAATATTTTATATTGCTTTTCATAATGTAAACTGGTCAACAAGTGAATACAAAGTTCTTCCCAGTACTTTGATCTTAATAATTGATACCTGGCAAGTGACATTAGATCTTTAAAGCTGACCCTCTGAGGAGCTGAAAGGGAGCCCTATATTAAAGTTGGTCCGGAGGCATGGCCAAGAGATTATTGTATCAAGCTGTCATTTTCTGGTTTTCACTTTTCTGTGAAGACAGAAGGCTTCTTTTAGAAGTTATATACTTATATTACCTCTTATGTTCAAATACATGTTTGATAAACTAAGCTACAGTGTAATTACTGCTTAGAGGAATTCTTTATTTTTATGCTAGCAATTTATTCCTTAATTATAGGGAGTTTATCATGTAGTTAATTACCATAGTTTATGAGGAAAAGTCATGATTTTTATGAAAACTAAGTAAATGTGAACATTCATCACATTTGATTTTTATGAAAAGAATTAGTCATCTGTGGAAACTGGCCCATTATACCCCAAAGTATATTAGATATTTAAGTTACCAGTAACTTCATTATGACTTTCATATCAAATCATAAAAGTCTAAATGTCTATCGGTAGTGAATTATTAAATCAATGGTAGCACATTTCCACATCAAATCCAGTTCATGTGGTGCTTTGACAACAGGTTTTGGGGGCAGATTGACTGGAATTTTGGACAATTTTGAGCTTAGGCAACTCACTCAAATGCTTGATGATTCAGTTTTTCCTCTATAAACTGATCATTATGACAGTTCGATAAGCGAATCGTGAAGCACTTAAAGCAGTGTCTGATGGGACCTGCAGATGGCATAATGGTTATGCTGCTGGACTCCCACATGACTGAC